GAATGCCTCACAAAAGTTTGTGCACGACCCATTGCGGACTCCCCAAATGCTTGCTTTAGCATTTCATAGGTTTCCGTAGCCGTTTTGGCGAGTCTTTGGCAAAATTTGATGCACACGCCATTCCGAAATCGCAGGAGGGTCGGTGTAATGCACTACCAAAACGCCCGTAACTAAGAAACAAATGCTAATTCGATGATGTCGGCTGGCACACTGATTCACTATGAATGTAGGCCGCACCCCCTAGCGGCAGAAGCTACATCCGGTTCGCCCGCTATTGACACAGTCTAGAAACTTTCCGATCGCACCTCGTATAATAACAAGTTTCTCCTAGGCGCCCGCGACGCTTGATTCAAGGTCACCCATGTTATAGAGGCCGCTGCCCACGCCAGTTGTGCAGAAACTCTGCAGGTGCGAACATGGCGTATTCGCGAGCAGAACGTGCTAATTCTCGACAATTACTTATCATTTGCTGCTGGTACTCAAGTATTTAGAAATGGTAGTCATGACGAAGTACCGAGTAAGACAAACAATCAGGGAGAAATTCACCCTGATGATGGAGGCAGCAAGGACCTCTGAAACTTCGGTGAACTTCTACCAGACTACACGGCGCAAGAACTCGGAAGAGATCCATCTTCGGACTCACCGCCGTGTATCAAATCATATAACGCTGTTAGGCATTGCATCCGCTGCAACATAGGTTATGTGGCATTCATATTATTTATCATTAGAAGAATCTAAATGTGTTTGCTTTTTAAACTTTTTAAAACACTCCAGTAGCAGAGAATACGTGTTTCTTCTTTATTTTGAACTTCATCAAGGTTTAGCATAAACCGTTGATTTCTCGTCCCTGACGAGCAAATGTTGTGGCTGGCGAGAAGAAAGCAATCAATGTATGCGAACATCTGTTGAATCCTGAGCAGTCGTTTACATCGTGCACTAACCATTTGAAATTGGTCATAAAATACGTGGATACAAGAATAGAGAAGATGTTTTCCCCTGAAATACGTAACGTGGAAGGTTTTGTGATTTGTTTTATACAGGTTTTTAGAGACAAGTGCGTATAAAATACTTCATTAACACGTGGGCGGCCAGAACACCACGTGTGTTTTTCCGTATTTGTTAACATTAAAAATTGTTAAGATATTGATCAGATTCATCTGGCTTGCGATAGGGTCCTGTGATATGTTCTTGTTAACACGTTAATGAACCTCCGGGTTGCATAAAAAGTGGAAATGTTTTGTTTTTCTTGACTAACTAAGCGACTAATTAGCTTCTGAAGAAAGATTTCTCCTTTGAATTAGGCAGTTGTCAGTGCCATAGTAGAATAGAATGAAAGTCCATGAAGTCTCCCTGAAATCATCCTGAAAAACTGTCGGTGTTGTGATCTGGGGGTGCGGTGGAGGTTAAGATCTGTTCATATGCAACAGTTTAGTGCATAGAGAAGTCTGTGTCTTAAGATTTGTGTCTTCGTTCAACACATGTTCGAATATACCCCGTGGTGCAGTTCGAATTTACAATGACAGTGCCTGATTTGATGTTTGTGATGTGTTGGTCTCTGGGTTGTCGAGCTGTGAACCCGTAGGTAGACACCACCGTTTCGGAGGGACATTCTGTATCCATCTTCAGACTGCCATTACCTTGGTTAGATTGGGACCAAGGTAAGCGTGGTAACAAGATTGGAAAGGTGTACTCTTTGGAGTACACTGGCATTCCAGAGGGGCTACTCGCTCCACATAACGTCAGTCAATAATGTTATCCTAGACCATTATTGTTCAACCGATGGCAGCTTCGGTTTCCATACACCATTCACAATAATTAACGAATTATGTAGAAGAAATATAATTTTTTTACATTTTTGTGTTTAACTTCTTCCTCGGAAACAAGTTCTGTTTTAAAATATTGTTGCCAATTGAATTATTCCACAACTCGTTGTTTTTCCTGCAGACTAGATTGTAGGCTTCACACTGTACACGGACGCTGGACCAGTTGCGGGCTATCTACGGGGAACACATTGAAAACTGCTCACAGTGTCCACAGCGACTGGATTAATAGAAATATTTTATGTCTTTACGAAGGACATACAACTTGTGTATTCGTCGTTCAAGATCGACTAAATATTACCTGATTTTTACAGTTCTGAGGATATAAGGTATATGTTTATTGGGTGTTTAAAAATTCGTGATGGACTATAATTGTGTTAAATCACTTCAAACAGTGAACATGATAACCTTCAGAGAAAATGTAGGGCAGCATTTCTCCTTGAGAGGGAGTGTGGGAGTTGTTCTTTGTTGGATAGAAGACATGTGTTTTGCTTGATGTGTTGGAGATAGGAGATGCATTTCTGGGCTTAGGAGAGTTGCTAATTACTTTTGTGTTCTGGAGGGGGTGCAAGTTGTCACTCATGTTCTGGAAGAGAGGTAGATAATGCCACACTTCATAAAGTTATGTGCATCCGTTCGTGTTCATCTTTTTTGCACTGGAGGTGGTTTAAGTGCGTCCTGGGTGAAAAGACAGGAATTCAAAGTATGCAACATGTGATACAGTGTACTTGACGTTTCAGGAGTCGACTACAGGTGATCAGTTGACGTTGTAGCGACATTTATTATTGGTTGGTGGAAATAGTTAGGGTGGAATCCAGGGTCTTGTTGAACACCAGGTCGCTGAAGTGGCCAGGCAATTGGTGTTGTGCACTATGCTTATGTTCCGCTTGCGGTTACTTCCTTTCTCGTAGCAGGTGTCGCTATATTCAGGTCAGATGTAGATTTTGTTGACCAGTAAAAAAGTCATTGTCACCAACCATTAAAGAATTTGATACCTGGTACAGTTTGGAGTGAAGGTTACTCTCAGAAATATATATATATATATATAATGAATCAGCTGTTAAATATACAATATGAGTTGTACAGGGGAGTGTAACATTTTTTTGGTGCGTGCAGGAATGGATGCAAGAATTTTTTTCATGTAAGTTTGTACACAAATGTTGATGAAATAGTTGATTAAAGGAGTTCTAGAGATGTGAGGTTGATGCAAGATCCATTTTATATTACTCAAAGGGACAACAGACCTATTACGGGTTAGATGCTTATTGATATTCTTGATGATGATGGGTATAAATTGAAGATATTTCAAGTTAAAGCAGGTAATAGAATGTGTAGTGATGAGAAGTGAATGACATGGTCTCATAAATTAATGTAAGGACTTTTAGTAACACCATTATCATCTTTGTTTATATTTAATTTTATTTATACACAAGTTACACTGCTATGGAACTCTTTAAACACAACACAGTACTGTGAAACTGCCTTCTGCGTCTTATGTCTTGCAATTGAGGACTCTTTCCAGGTACTTTACTTTGAATAGAGGGAGAGAGGAAAACTCAGGGGAATGAACCCATGCACCACTACCACCACCACCACCACCACCACCACTACATTACACATCGCTAGCTCATACAAGAGAGCACCACATTGGTTGTTGTCAAGACATTGCACAACAGAACACAAGACACTTCAAGACAATACACTGAAACTGCATGAACCAGCATCTTGAAGAGGAGGCGGGTTCAGTCAGGAGTCGACTGACTGTTGTGAATGTTTGCAGGGAGGAGGTGACTCGGTGGGAGCCATTGTCTTCACGGTGACATACTTCAAGGTGAACGTGACCAGGAGGTATGTACAATTGAGCTTGCTGTGGGACCACTGCAAGAGGAAACGACATCGTGGAGTGGAGGTGGTGGGGTAGTGGTGCTTCTGCCCGCCCATTACGCTAAGCTAACGGTCTGCTTCTGTGAATACCAGATCATCTGTTCCTGTCAGATGCCATCCCTTAAACAATGAACTTTTTTGTTTTGTTTTTGTTTCTGATCTGGATTCCTTTATTTCAGACCTAACATTGTGATTGAGTGGTTACCACTCCTGCTTCATATTTGGAAGGTCCCAGGTAAAAGTCTCAGCCCAGACAAGACTATTATGAGGTTTTCATGGTTTTTCTCAGGCAGAAGTTGGGACTATACATAAAATTAGGCTATTATTGCTTTCTTCCTCATCCTTTCGTTTTAATATTTATTAAACACCCTGTTATTCAATGTTGTGTAACTTAAGCATTTGAAAATGTGTAATTAAATACACCAGGAATTAGTCACTCAGACATTTGAAGACATTGTTGTTTATACCACCGTGACCCTCCTCTATCCAGAATGTAGGCCTTATGAAGTGTTTTCCGTTCATGTATTTTAAATATGGGGACAGCTCTGTTTGTTATAAGTAACTCAGGTTGGTGGTGGTGGTGGTGACTATTTATTTTCCTGGCATGTTAGAAAATTGTATCATATCAACATGGTGTCATTATGCAAGATTTGAGGTTTTCACAGCGGTGAGTATGAAGATTTCTGTCTTCGGGGTTGTTGCCCTGTGTAGTCTGGTCGATGTTAACCAACGTTTCAGAGGTCATACTGCCTCCGTCATCAGGGGGATGAATCACAGTATGACCTCTGAAACGTTGGTAAACATCTACCAGACTACACAGCGCAACGACCCAGAAGACAGAAATCTTCGTGGTGTCATTACCTGAAAATGGAAATGTTGAGTCCTGACAAGCCTTCGTTAAATTGTCAGTATTCACAACTTTTATTCTGCCAGATTCTTTTCTCTCTTTAATGTAGTCATTGTTTGATGATCCTTACAATTCTGTGATTTCAAGTTTTGAACACACTTTTACAGTTAAGAGAGTTACTTGTTTCAAGTGTTGAACCCTAGGGACTGTCCCAAAAGTTTTCCATTACACATCGCTAGCTCATACAAGAGAGCACCACATTGGTTGTTGTCAAGACATTGCACAACAGAACACAAGACACTTCAAGACAATACACTGAAACTGCATGAACCAGCATCTTGAAGAGGAGGCGGGTTCAGTCAGGAGTCGACTGACTGTTGTGAATGTTTGCAGGGAGGAGGTGACTCGGTGGGAGCCATTGTCTTCACGGTGACATACTTCAAGGTGAACGTGACCAGGAGGTATGTACAATTGAGCTTGCTGTGGGACCACTGCAAGAGGAAACGACATCGTGGAGTGGAGGTGGTGGGGTAGTGGTGCTTCTGCCCGCCCATTACGCTAAGCTAACGGTCTGCTTCTGTGAATACCAGATCATCTGTTCCTGTCAGATGCCATCCCTTAAACAATGAACTTTTTTGTTTTGTTTTTGTTTCTGATCTGGATTCCTTTATTTCAGACCTAACATTGTGATTGAGTGGTTACCACTCCTGCTTCATATTTGGAAGGTCCCAGGTAAAAGTCTCAGCCCAGACAAGACTATTATGAGGTTTTCATGGTTTTTCTCAGGCAGAAGTTGGGACTATACATAAAATTAGGCTATTATTGCTTTCTTCCTCATCCTTTCGTTTTAATATTTATTAAACACCCTGTTATTCAATGTTGTGTAACTTAAGCATTTGAAAATGTGTAATTAAATACACCAGGAATTAGTCACTCAGACATTTGAAGACATTGTTGTTTATACCACCGTGACCCTCCTCTATCCAGAATGTAGGCCTTATGAAGTGTTTTCCGTTCATGTATTTTAAATATGGGGACAGCTCTGTTTGTTATAAGTAACTCAGGTTGGTGGTGGTGGTGGTGACTATTTATTTTCCTGGCATGTTAGAAAATTGTATCATATCAACATGGTGTCATTATGCAAGATTTGAGGTTTTCACAGCGGTGAGTATGAAGATTTCTGTCTTCGGGGTTGTTGCCCTGTGTAGTCTGGTCGATGTTAACCAACGTTTCAGAGGTCATACTGCCTCCGTCATCAGGGGGATGAATCACAGTATGACCTCTGAAACGTTGGTAAACATCTACCAGACTACACAGCGCAACGACCCAGAAGACAGAAATCTTCGTGGTGTCATTACCTGAAAATGGAAATGTTGAGTCCTGACAAGCCTTCGTTAAATTGTCAGTATTCACAACTTTTATTCTGCCAGATTCTTTTCTCTCTTTAATGTAGTCATTGTTTGATGATCCTTACAATTCTGTGATTTCAAGTTTTGAACACACTTTTACAGTTAAGAGAGTTACTTGTTTCAAGTGTTGAACCCTAGGGACTGTCCCAAAAGTTTTCCTCACTCCCAATAATTTAAACACAATCTTCGGCAACTTCAATAGAAGCTTTGTGTTATGATTTCGATCTGAGTATCGGGTTTACTCTATTACTAAAATTTGCAAGCCATTAGAAGATCTGTCAAGATTTTGATGTCAAATATGACTGCTTTTTGTCTCAGGAAACTTGTTAGAAAGGCCATGTCATTAAGGTTCCTTCATTACCAGTTTCTTAATCCAATTATTCCAATTTGCTATCCTCCAGGTGATTGTATGCTAATGATCTTTTAAAAAATTGACACTTTTTAAGGAGGCATTTTGTGCTCAAATTAAAAAATACTGGTATAGTAAACATTATATTTGTATGTATGTCTTTTGAGGTTTATAATGAAAACTTGCCAACCATTGCAGATGGACACATGGGTGGTTGTGGTGAAATATTGTCCTTCCATCAAAGTGGTCTATACAATTCTCTGCATTTCTCATCTGTCCCTTCTGTCATGTATTTCCCATATCATTCTCCTTGATCTTATTATCCTCACAGTGTGTAGGTATTCCTACAAGGCTTGTGTTGAGTATTCTTTTCTGTTGTTGAAAGTATTGATGCGGCTGTATGCAAAAATGATGGCTATAATTAATCAAGAAAAGAATTCAAGCCAACGAGCTCAGTCCTCAAAAAGTGTCTGTCATTAGTGTATCAGCACGGCGACTCATTGCGCTGATTATGGATCAAGGACCTCTGAAACATTGGTAAACTTCTACCAGACTACATGGCGCTACAACCCAGTTTGGACTCACTTTTAAGCTGTTTGATATGCCCTTCCATTATGTTTTACTTACAATCTGCAGCCTGTTTAATGGCTTGAATTTGACTGTTTCGCTGTTTAAAACACTGCCAGATTGTCCTTGCCCCAAAATTGAACAAAGTAATGCATGATTACTGCTTCACTTAGGAAGACTGAAAAAAAATATATATATATATATATATATAGGTCATGCATTTATTTTTCGTATGCCTAGGAAATTTGTTCTTTGGGTGTCTAATAAATTAATAGTATTTTTATGAAGACTGAGGAACTGGTATGTAAAATGTTAAGCAAATGCGTATTTTTTGCTCTCATAATGGATATCCACCTAATAACAGCAGAATATGTATTTCTTATGGTAGTAATATATTTCTTTACATTATATGTCATTCTCTATTTATATTTACATATTTTAATTATGAAGGCCCTTATCATTAGATTTAAGGACTCATGCTGTGAGTTCTGCATGTGGGTTATGCAGAGAACTTTATAGGAATTGTGAAATTACATTTCGAAAGCAAGGGGATTCTCTGTATGTAAGCAGTTTAATCCCTCGTGTCGTAATATTGAACGTGACTTGTGGGCGCAGTGAAAGGCCAGATATCTCCCCACAGCTCTGAAACTCTGGTCTGATGTTTTCCAGGTAGTCTTAGCCATTGTCTAAAAGTGTTGTAATGCTGAAGACAATGTGTTCTGATAACAGAAATTCAATTCTGAAGAGGATAAAAACACACAAATAAATTCTCCCCATTGTTTGAAGGCAGAATGCCTTTTCAGTATTATGATCTACATTTCCATTTCTGGTCCCATTGTAGATATGCAATTAGAGGATGTATGTTTCTGTTGCTTTCTTACTAAGCAAGTTCAGAGATTGATACAGTGTCTTTATGTTCCTCGTTTGTTATTGTGTCTGAAGGTAAAAATATTGCATTAATTATTTTTGAGAATGCAAGTGTAAGCTCTTCCTTCTCTTTTAAAGAAAGCCATATCTGAGCCTTAGAATATATTTTCACTGGGGCTGTAGCACATTACACATTTTTCAGGGTTGTGGCCTTTAATTCTGTCATCTTCTCGCCAAAACAGTTTTGATATTGGTGACATTCTTCTGTTGTGCCTAGTTTCTGAGCAACATAAGACATTTTTACTAGTACTCTAACCCAGAACACATCTTGGTACCGTTCTAACATACTTAAATTCCAAGCTACAGAAGGAATTTTCACTGGGACTTCAACTCAGGACAGTTTTTTGGGGGTTGTGGCCCATGTTCCTGTAATCAAACAAACAACTTTGGTCTTGCCATCATTCTTTCATTTTGCTCAGTTTCTGAAATAAAGGAACCACCCTTGCAGGACTCGAACCCAGGATACTTTGAGTTTTCACCTTACTAAAATTAAAATCTCTTTCTAGTTTCAAGGCATAAGCATGCCAAGTTTGGGGCAAATTGGTTTATACATTCTTAAGTAATAGCAGAACCTGCCACAGTTTGTTGTTGGCAAGGAAAGGGTTTGCTATTTAGTCCATCAGTGTTTTATCAGTTATTAAAGTATAATCAATTGTCTGTGGGGTTCTTGAACAGGTTTGAAGTCTAGAACATTTCTTGATATGATGCTGTCAGTGTTAATGGAATTTCATGTAGAATTCTACATTTGGTCATTTAAAAGGTGTGCCATTTGTTTACAAAGTTCACAGCGTATATAATTGGCCACGTTTTTCATGTGTATGTTTCTGAAGTTAAATTTAATTTTTTTTGTGCACATTAATGCACATGTCCCATGGAATGTTTCCATTGCCATGGACGAGTATTTGGAAACATTGCCTCAGTACTCCGTCTTTGTGATTGTGTGTTTGTGAACTGGTTTTCATTGTGTTTTAGGCATTAAACAAGACTCATCAGGCTCTGGTCGACCTGCCCCCCTTTTGCAGGAACCTAGATATGGGGCCGGCCCTCAACCCTATCGTAAGTAATAGGTTGGATTCATGTTCAGTGTAGTTGGAAGCTTGAAGCATCTTCTCATGATATATCACGTCACTGACCACTCTAGTGGTTAACGTACAAGCCTGGCATTAAAAAGCGTCCTAGGTTTGATCCCAGCCATTGTAACTAATAATAATAAGTAAAGTTTGTCCCGCCACGTGCCATACAGGTGCTTGGGGTGAGTGGAGGTATAGCTCCTCTCTTTCCACTAGATGGGGGTGAGTGGTTAGCATCACGCCCCGGTCGTGCTTTACCCCCGGGAAAGGACCCCAGTAGAGGAGGTTGGGTGGGCCCCAGAGCCGGTCTGGACACAGAGGCTAGAGAAAAAATCCTCTGCCCCCGTCGGGGATCGAACCCCGGTCGTCCAGCCCGTAGCTAGTCACTATACTGACTGAGCTATCCCGGCTCTTAACTAATAATAATAATAATGATGAAAAAGTGTCATTATCGTAATAACCGGGTGCTTGAAAGTGGAAGTATATCAAAAGTTTTTAACCTCAGCTGCACAATTTTTTATGCCATGCTATTGTACAGCTCAGCAGTTGAATCACTTATGTTATGTGTACTGGCATATCATTTTAATGAATATATCTACCATATGTCATATAACTTTTTGGAGCCAGTGTTATGCCCCCCTCCCTCCCACAATTCAAAACAATATTTACAGTTATGGGCCTGTGTGATATATATGACACTAAACTACAGAATTTACTTCAAATTAAAATAGGTCCTCACTGCCAGGGTTTTGCTTGACCAGTAGACTGATTCAGGTTGTCATGAGATTACCTGTTGTGTCAAAAAGTTAATCACTGTCCTTAGAAGGAAATATTACATTTACACATATTTACCACTGATTGAAATATAAAATATGAAAGGAAATTACATTTAAATTTGGAAAACGCTTAAAACACAAATGAACCAGTTATTCATATATACACTTTACAAAGAAAACTACATTTACAAGTGGAAAACATATTCCCGATGACAACGATTCAAAATGGAGACAGATTCTTGAGGTTATAAAAATGTTCTTGCAGAAGTATTCCATGGATAAGACCTCTGATGGTGAGGAAGAAGTTGTAAGACCTTGCGGGTTTATCGTTGCTTGTTCATTTACATATATAAAAGTTAATTAAATATACACAAACTCTAAAATACTATTCATAAAATCGACCATGAAACTTGAAATTCCTTAACTGTAGCATCCAAAATATAGATAGTTATTTTGCCAGCCAAGAATTAAATTGGGGGTATTACAAGTGATTATTGTAGTAGCTGGAACAAAAGTATGTGGTGCAATGCCACACAATGGAGACACTCCCCCATGTATTGCTAAGTGTTGACTGCGCTGTGCTCCTGATTTTTCTGAGCATTGAGTTGTGATTTATTTACAATCATGCACAGGCTGTCACATAATCCTGCCATGTCTTTATTATGCTGTAAATGTACGAGGCGCATCCTCAAAGTAAGTTTCCCTGGGGCCGTTTACAGAAACAAAACACAATTTCATGGAAATATTTATTGCAACAGATACAGCAAGTGTCCAGCTATTTTTCAACATATTCGCCACCGGAATTGAGACATTGGTCATACCGGGGGACCAACTTTTGAATACCTGTGTCGTAGAAGTCGCCCGCCTGGGATTGGAACCACTGTGTGACAACCATCTCCGCCTCTCTGTCATTCTCAAAACGCTGACGCTGACCGGACAGGAATTTCTTGAGGTGTAGGAAAAGATGGAAATCACTGGGAACGAGGTCCGGGCTGTAGGGTGAATGATCAAACACCTCCCAGCTGAACTCCTGCAGGAGACTCGCTGTCCGTCGAGCCGTGTGCGGCCGAGCGTTATCACTGACCGCACTTCACAGTCGGCGGGAGCTGGAATAAGAACCTCCATCTTCAACAGCTGCAACGATGCTACTGTGAGAACGCGGGAGGTGCCGTTAGTGCATGCGCCATGCTACGTCATTGCTCTATCACGTACGCACAGTCGCTTCGCGCAATATAAGGTTTGCTAGCTGTGGGACGAGTGGGAAACTTACTTTGAGGACGCGCCTCGTATGTTACAGTTTATGTCTTGTGTTAAATATGAACTGGAATAGAAGAATCCAAAACATTCTCAGCTGTTACGACTGTTTTTTAGTGGGGGAATATTAGTAAAATATAACATGAAAGTCGCAATAAACAGACTGTTCAGAATGTAAGTTCTTCAAAGATATTTCTGAGCAACCTGAACATTTTGGTAATATAAATGTTTACAAAGAAAAATAAATAACAGCAGAATTATGTGGTGTACATTGCAACATAGTCAAGTGCAGAATTACTGTGCATTCACAAAAAAAAAACAAAGATTCGCCGCAATTTCTCGTCAACTAAAGATTGATTGAGATGCTTTTTTTAAAGAAATATAATCTGAACCTTGAGCTACATTTCATAGCCTTATTGTAGGAGGTAGAGTCCATAAAATGCAGATTCATAGCAGTGTTTATTATTGCCTAATTCCCGTGAGAGCAGAGAAACATTGTCCATTTATTAAAATGATTAAATGACACAGCAAAGGATTATAAACGCATTGTTATAATGACAAATAACTGAAGAATACATTGGTCAGAATATCTCATTGATTCTGTTAGAAAATGTTATAGCAAATTGAAGCGAGAATTCCTACAAAAATCCAACTCTGCTGTTAACAGTTTGGACTTTCTGTTGGTGTTGCAATTACGTAGTTTTTCTGTAACCTTGAAACAGAAACATCTTATTTCATCATGGCTACTGTAGCCGTCCTAATTCCATACCCTGTTCTCCCCTCCGCAATTTTGTGTTTAGCCCACTAACTCTGAGATGACTGAACTTTTGAATCAGGTTGGTTGGATTGTCAGTGCTTATAATACCGAATTATGTAAGAGATAGATCACGTATGGTGAACTGGGAAAGGACGAGTAAAGTGGTAATACCCTATTTCAAGGCGTATTTGTGGAAGGATTGGAAGAACCATGGAAGGAATTTGTGTAGGGTAGTCAGTGCTGAGATTCAGACCTGGAACTTTAACAAAACACTTCCAATTGTTGCTTTCTTCCTGTGATTCTTTAAACCTCTCCATCCAACATTAGCAATTGAAGAATTCTTTTGGAAATTTAGTACACATACCCACTAATCAGTCATGTTGATGTGTGATTAGTCACGTAATGATTTGGTGGCAGTTACTGCAGAAGAGGGCGTCTGTGTTCTTTGATACCAGTCTGCCATCATTCTGTTGTTATTTATTAACCCTGTGTTGTTATGGAAAATAAATTTAGTGTTTCCCCAGGGATTGTCAAAACAGTAAAAATCTGAATATCTGCCTATGAATTCACACAGCTTTAAAGCCTGTAAGACCACCTCAACATCTTCACCGCTATGAGAAGCTCAGATCTCACAAAATCTGAGTTGGTTACATTTTATGTATTTTTTTCAGCCATCACAATTCTAAAGTAAGTAATAAAATAGTCATAAAATTCTTCAGTTTTTTTTTATGAATTTAATGTAACACTTGTAGCTATAATACTTAATACAACAGAAATAGTGGAAATGGGAACACACTCTTGAATGAGGTAAGTTGGCACACAGACAGAAATATTAGACATGTCTTTTTTTTTTAACAGCTGAAAATATAAATGATAAACTAAGTGAAAGTAAATTGACGTAAAATGTTTTATTCTGATATTTACAGAAAAGTGGGTGTGTGAAATGAGAATATTTCCTTACAAAGGTTATAAAGTTTTTATTCATCGGACATTAATCTGCAATACTTTGCTTCAGGAGGTGATAGCATGATGCGCAGTGGCGGTGGAGTTGTGCCGTCGTATGTGGGTGCCCCAGATCGATATGAGGATGGCTATCAGAATGGACCTCCAGGCTCATATTCAGAACAATATGGAGACAGATATCAGTCTGATAGGTATGTTGCTTTGCTTGTAGTAAACGTGGTAGTGTTCTGTCTGATGAACAGGATCCTTCCATCCTTTTCTCGGACTGGGACCTGTTCATATACGTTCTTGGCAGATGATCCAGAAGTGGTTTGCCATTGCCTTCTTCTGTGTGTATGGAGTAATGAGTAATTGTTGGGATGCCACGGAGAAAACCTCCGTGTTGCCTAGACCACGGCCTCGCCCAACACAAGTTATAAATTCGGGCACCGCCGGGAATCGAACCCGAGACCCCAGGATTACAAGGCCAGCGTTCTAACCGCTAAACCACCGTGGTTATAAGCTAATATTATGTAATTTAAAGTAATGCTCCCTCATTCGTGTGAAACGTTTCAGTGAATTAATTTGTCCTGCCCCTGCGTAATGCGGACACGAGACTCTGTTCCCGTGAGGTCTGACTAAAGTGCCTCAACTGTAGCCACCGCGTCTTGGGACCGCGAAGTTCCACGTGGGCTGAAACTTGACACATTTTGGTCTTCGTCGTAACTTCGAAGTGAACGCGTGGGATTCGGTATTTTTACGGCGGCAAAGAACGTCTCTGCTCTGTCCTGTGGGATACGATTCCGTGTTATCGATTATTCCTCTTTGACATTGCCATGTTTCTTTTAGTGTGTACAAAATAACTACGGGATATAAAGTGAAGCTTTCGCAGCAACTGAAGTTGATGAAAGACTCTCGGGTTACAAACCGCCTCAGGTGGCTGATTGGTGAATAAATCATATCTTCTGCCAATGTTTCGAGAACAAACATTGGCAGAAGATAAGGTTTATTTACCATTCAGATGCCTGATGTAACTTGTAACCTGAGAGTTTTTCATTAACTACGGGGTCTTCGTGAAAGAACTGACTGTAGTATATTTCGAGAGTTTTTCATTAACTACGGGGCCCTCGTGAAAGAACTGACTGTAGTATATTTCACGCAACTTTCTGTGTAAAGTATCATACTATAGAAGTGAAACCACAGTTTATTGAAGGTTGCAAGTTGTGTAGGTGTTCTTTATATTCAGAAAGAAATTATTAATGTAGTCATTTTTATTGTGAGGACTGCATGTAATGTAATGGCTTCAGGACAGATGTAATATATGCAATCACTGAATCATACCTCTGGTAAATTTAAAAATTTCTCTGTTCATTTCATTAACTTGGACCGTACAAATAGTAATGTGTCCATCATCTTGACTGAGATCAGAGAGTAGCAGTAGAAAGTGATGTCATATGCATTTATTTACTTATTCATGGTGAACCCTTTCAGCAGTAAGATCAGTTAACAAGATCAGTAATTAGTACATAGTAAGGTTTTCAGAACTTCACAATATCTGTCACTCTTCATCCATTTGTAGACCACCCCTCTTGACTTTAAAATTGAGACAGCTAAAGTATAAGTGTTGCCTTGCCATCCCACAACATGTCATCACCAAAATAGTATCGTAAATTTTATTCGATAATATTTATAATTTTCATATCTTGATGACTGTGCAAGTCTACACCATAAACTTCCTTATTCTATCAGAAGTTCAGGGGTTAATAAAGTGATTTGCTCTCTTGTGTCAGGTATGGTATGAAATCAGAGTATGGCAGGGAGCCACTTCACCCCACCCCTCCACGGCCTGGCTATGGGCCTCCAGCCATACCACAAGCTCCCGGAGGACCTAATGCATCAGGACCGCAGCAGGGATCAGTCATGATGGTTTATGGACTTGATCCAGAAAAGTCTAATACTGATAAACTGTTCAACATATTTTGTCTCTACGGCAATGTACTGCGTGTAAGTGTGTTACGATATCAGGTATGTTTCCTGTTAAATATAGTGGACTGTGACTGATCATTGACATTTGTGGGCTTGCAGATAAAGTTTCTGAAGACAAAGGAAGGGTGTGCCATGATCCAGATGGGGGATGGGCTGGCAGTGGAGCGCTGTGTACAGAACCTAAATAATGTGTCTCTTATGGGATCAAAGCTGCAGCTGGGGTGAGTGATATGATTAGAAATGAATACACATGGATGAAAGTAATTTCTTATATATCAGAGACTAATTGTTGACCAGGAACTTTGATGTGAAGATGTATCGTATTGTTGAATGGACATGTGTAACTAATTACCTCTAAAGAGTATGCCATACATGACATGGGAGCGTCAGGACATGAAACTGAATTAAAAAAGGATGCAATATGTACAGAAATGCTTTCTGTAAATGATGCAAGGGGTGCTTTATCCTACCCACATATTTCATTCCCTAAAGTTCTGAACAGATTCCATTTAAATTTTGTATTTGATGTGTACACGATATTGAGAGAACTTAATTTTTGTTATGTTGGTTCCCTATGGCCCTTACCGTATATGAAGTTTAAATTGAATTTCTCTCAAATATAGCTAATCATATAAAAGTTCAGTACATGACATAAAATGTAGATCTCATTTATACCCATTTTATTACACTTTCCATTATGGTTAATGTGCAGCAAAATACAAGTCCTCTTTGCAGTGTAATATTTGTAGTATTTGTGGTGGACTGGTGTGGACCAGATTTATATCTGCATGTGTTTAGTCAGTTTTCTTTAATCCTGAAGGTCCTATAAAATCTATGGCAAACAGTATGTTACGCGTATATACAGGTAGGGCTCGATTTACGCCGGGGATGCGTTCCTGGACGAACCGGCGTAAATTGAAACTCTTTTATAATGTAAATCAGTGGCAAGTCAATGACATGCATTCCCAGCACCAAAACATTGACGAGTAATATAATGGCATTACGTTTAAAGCTCTGAAATAACATAAATAAAATAAAGGGTACTTAAAAAATATATTTTATACACTTACAATCGGCAATTCGTTGGTCCCCGTGATTGACTGCTTTTATTTCATGTGATTGATGTGTACAGTCATCTCTGCTGTTATGCGATAGTTGCATTCATGTAAGACGCCGACCTATAGAAAATCGCGTAGTAAAAATAACCCCGGTACCTCCGCAGAGATTAAATCAGTCCTTTGAAAGTTTAAAGCGTCAGGAATGAAATTGCACAAGAGCAGACTCACGTATGCAAAAGTTTGCATTTCACAAAACAGCTTTTACCGATTCATCGATCTCATTGGAGCAAATTCGCGTTAACGAAACATACGTAATTGCAGAGATGACTGTATTTATAGTTTTTATTCAAAATCAGCGATGTAAGAATTATGATTTAGTATAAGAATCGGTACGAGATACATTGTAAAACGGTTATAAATAATAGTAAAATATATATATTTTTTTTTTTTTCGCTTTTTGACTTTCTGGTTTCAAAATCGGCGTTATTCTGAATCGGCGCAAATTGAACCGGCTGAAATCGAGGGCTACCTGTATAATGATAGGTTTGTGTGTTGCATTAAGATGGTATTTTGTGCACAGGTTTTCCAAACAAGCATTCCTAAGCGATGTACTGAACCCACACTTACTGCCTGACAAGAGTCCATCCTTCAAGGATTTTATGGGTAACAAAAACAATCGTTTCATTAATCCTACTATGGCCAGCAAGAACAGAATACAGCCCCCTTCTAAGGTAATTACTGGTATTACAGTACAGTGGAACTTTTTATTTACTGTCGGTGAGGCCTGATTAAAAAATTGTGTAAATTGTAGGAAATGTATAAATTATAATCATAGGGTTAGAGTTTATTTACATTACATTACGTACGCAGTCTTAGGGATGTACTAGAGATTCATATTAAAATGGATGTTTATGAAATACGGTGTTTAGTAAGTCGTGCTTTTTGTGTGAAGGATTTTAAGGTTTTGTGTGCCATTATCACATCCATAAATTAAATGGTCCCTGTATATGCTTGTATGTGTGCTGTAATTTTAAAATATTGATTTTATGTTCAGATCCTGCATTTCTTCAATACTCCGCCACATATGACAGAGGAACTGCTTAGTAATGTGTTCGAAGAGAAACAAGCACCATGTCCCAAGACCATCAAATTATTCCCGCTAAAGAGTAAGTACACATTGGACACTTGTTCACGGTCTATGTTTGTTTTGTCCCTCTCACTGAGCTTCTTGCTCCATAACCGCAGAAGATGTTTGTAATGGAAAGTCACAGGGAGAAAACATCAAAAAAGCAGTTGTAGCCTATTTTAAGGCAATGGTCCAGCATTTTTATGGAGGTACTAAGGATAACCACAAAAGGCTTGGTCAGGATAGTTGGTGTATAGGCTAATAAGACAGTCTGCTTCAAATTAAAAGTCATTTTAATCCTGCTTTCATTAAACCTCCTCTTATGTTAGCCCACACAATGAAAAATGTGCAGCTTTTGTCTTTGCTAAGAACAGTTTTTTTATTTCATTTCTTATTTCTTTCCTGGTACATTGGAACGAAACTCAGAATTGCACTTCAGCTAATTTGTAATGCACTCGTGCCATAATTTTTGCATCCAGAATTCACTATCCTCTCAGATCTACATATTTCTTGAAATGCAGTCTAGTTGAATTGGGTTTGCTGAAGTGAATGGGCAAATTGTGGAACTGGATGATGAGAGTATAATATTCTCCTTCCATATGCATCTGCATCGTCTTCTTTTGCTGTCTTGTCTGTTATACTTTCCTAGGATAACATATTTTCAGTCTGATTACACATGTACACATGAACCAGCTGAGCCATAATTTTCTATTTCCTTTTCTAGTTCAACCTTTCTTATTGTTTGGTTTCACACTCATCTCCTCTAGGCTTCTTGAATACATATCGTTTAATTTATTGTTTGTGTTGCTATAATAATTTATATTTTTTTTATTTCTTGTGTTGTCAAGCAGCAGACAGAAGTTCATCCGGCCTTCTGGAGTTTGAGGATGTGGGTGACGCCCTGATAGCCCTCATGTTGTGTAATCATGCTCCTATTCAAACCCCAGGTAATTGTTACAATTATATTTCCCCTTTGGTATTGTTACAGGCCATCACGAGTTTGCATTTTATATTCTGTAAAAAAAATTTCTTTTATGCACTTTAATTTTGTTTCATTAATAAATTTGTTTGATAATTCTTCCTTTTCATTTGTCTCAAAAAAAATAATTTCTAATTAATTTTAAAAACTGCATATTAATAATAAAAAAATATAGAACAAAAGTACAGTCTCATGGTCCATGACAAATTGTACTGTGATACAATCTTGTTATTGTTAAATTAACTTTACAAATCCTAACCATATTGTCAGCATGAACTTTTTAGTGCCCTGCAGGTCAGTGCTTCTACTGTTATAAATAAATCATCACTAAAGGACTGCAATTCACATTATTTTGAATTTGTGCCACCACAAAAATAATTCTGCAACTTGCCCATAATAAAAATGCAGTTTCTTTTTGTGTAAAACATGTGCTTGTCTTCCTTATGCTATTTTCCAACCGTGGCCAATAGAATGATACTGATTTAAGTTTAAATATAGATGTATACCCGGTGGGGATACCGAATTGAAGCCAAATAATTAGTTTCCCACTTTGTGCAGTTTACAAGGTTGATAAACCAGGTCCGAGTACGAGCAGAGTTTGCCACCCAAGGCCGAAATCTAGGAATATTGATGACCATACATTATCTAAATTAGTGAGTGATTATGTTTTAGATCTGTATGAAGAGGGGTATCTCCCATTATTAGAAGTAGGAATTCAACTCAAGTCTGAAAAATAGTGACAGCAAACTGTTAACTGGTAGTATCAAATCCTGCTATGATATATTACAGTAAGACATTATCTGGTTGGTTGTTAATCAGATCCTGCTTTTTTTAATTTGGCAAAGTAACAATCTTTTGATTGGTTTTTAGTATTACACAGGTTCTTGATATGAAATATCCAGCCCTTTAGTCCTCATATGCAAAACAGCTTTTCCGTTCGGTTGAAGTGATGGGGTGCGAAGAACAACGAGGGTTCCAAAACACAAAGAATGCTTATGGAAAATACGTGTACTCTTAAGTTAGAATACACCTTTCCACTTTTGCATTTAAAGTTACATTAATGTGCCCTGTGGATGATCCTATTTCATTACAGCTGCAACTTCAAATCATTATCACTTTTGCAGGTTGCAAGTTCCCATACATCATGAAGTTGTGCTTCTCGTCATCGCGCCAGATCCCAAATTCCTTGCGTAATAGTGGTAATAATGACCAGCAGCAGCACCAGGAAATGCAAGACGAAAACCTGGAATAGGTGCAGTTATGAAAAGTTGAACATTTTTCATTTTCTGTGGTGGATCAGGAGTTGTAATCATCTCTCACACCCTGCTCTCTGGTTCTTATTTGCTGCCCGCCTCCCAACTTTCCCCGTTGTTCACCAAGTTTTATTAAATGGACATCTTATTAAGCTATGCATAGTTTTAGTTTCATGACCCGTTTCTGACGAGCCAGTTGCTAGTACAGGTCATTTCTTAAAAATTGACATGAGGCAGACAGTGTAGAAAATAAAATATTTTGCAGTTTGATGTTGTCCGTTCATATAACTTCGGTGCATCAAACAAGTTAGATCATCACAGGCCTCAGGGAACCTGCATCATTGGCTAAATCAGTTTGTTGGCAGGTAAATTGTTACTGTTAAATTTAATAGTTACAGTCTCGAAGTGCATGCTCATCATCAAAGCCTTGCTGCCATATGTCGTAGTTAATTCAACACCTTTTTATTTACACTTTTCTTTTTGAAGAAGGCAACCTGCTTTGGCTCCTCAAATGAATCTGCTCATTGATACAGCATTGCATATGAGCTCAAAAGAGCTGAAATAGATGAGGTGGAAATGAATCATGAGTAATACAGGTTTTGTGAGTTATGGAAATTTTATTCACATAACAGAATTAAATCTCTAAGAGTACAGAATGTTGAACGTTTGTACGTAGGATTTGAGCTTCTTACAGCGGTGAGTAAAACGATGGCTGTCTTCTGGGTTGTAGCGCCGTGTAGTCTGGTAGAAATTTACCAGTTTCAGAGGTTCTTCTTACCAGTAAGTCATGTGCTGCGTACGAGGCTTACTCTTCGCCTTGATGGAGGCAGCAAGGACCTCTAGCACTGATAAACTTCTACCAGACTACATGGTGCTACGACCCAGAAGAATGTTTTGTTTCATACTTCATACTGATGAAAAAGCTGGGAGGACTGAGAGTCTAGGACTGTTCCATCAAATGTTTGTCCTCTCATGTCTCATCCATTTGTTAACAGAATTTACGTTTTGGGAAAAAGTGTCTGTGGCTGTTGGGAAGGAGATTGGTGGTAGGTATCCTTCGTCTTGCAGCATATCATGTATTCTTCCTTGTTCACTGTTACAGAGTTAATGTTAATGTAGAAAATGTGTCTTGAGGGGAAACAAATTAAACTTTGATGCTATAATTGGAGCTCTAAATGCAAAGTTAGCAGGGACATGCTCTGCACAGTAAGGATCAGAGGACTGTAGGTTTTATACCGGGTCATATCTAAGTGCAGGTTTTCTGGATGTGAATTGAAACCCCAACTTTACCAAACTTAAATTGTTGATGCCACACCCCTGAATGACGTGTAGGTCCCGTGTCCATAATTCTTTCAGTATATCATGGAGAGTAACAGAATCTGGCCTGTGAGTACTTATAATCGGGGCTGTGGCGTCTGAGTCAGAAGCAATTTTAGGTGGAGTCGGGAGTCGGTAAAAATGCTGTTGTCTGGTAGCAAGGATTGTAACATGGTGTGAACTTAACTAGGCAGCATCAGTCAATCTTTGAAACATTTATCATTGACTTTCTCTCTCAGCGTTTTGGGAGGATAGGTGAAGAGGTGTTTTATTTTATCATTGTTTTACTATGTTTTTAAAATTCAAACACAAAAGCATCAGATTTTGAACAAACAAAATTAACTCTTCAGTTGTTTTATCATATTTACACAGTTTTACCAGATCGCAAGAAGACACTGCTGAACATGAGGTATTGAAATTCAAGTGAAAGTCGTAGCATTGTCACATCTTTGTAACTTTCTCTCTCTTGGCATCACAAAACACCAGTCACACCATCATCTTTAAATCTAGCATACACGGAATGAACAGTCTCCTTTCCGAAAGTCCCATAGCCACAGTGAAGTTTAGCTGACGTATAAGAAGCTGTTTTCTTGTTGCATATAATAATTTCATATTCATAGTGAGTCATTATTAATAGTTTTGGCTTGTGTGCTTTTTTAAGAACTGGTACTGTTTGCAGCAAGTTACAAGTATACCATGAAGTGGACAGCACATATGACCAGATAATATAATAGATGCCTGATTGTCACATAATAGGCTTTTATGTGATTTAACACTCTCGCTTATAGGCCTGTCAAAAGAATAACTGTACTGTTTCATAAAACTTGGGTAACACCGAGGCTGGAAAGACAAGAAGCAGAAAGTGATGAAAATCAAGTACTTAGCATATTTCTGTAATTTTTTAACATATATATGTAACAGAAAGTCATCTTTTTAACAGTCTACTTCGGTGCCGACTGGCCTAGCTGAATGTGCCTCGTCTGTAGGATTGCTGGGAGGTAGAGGGTTAGATACCTTCTGAGATTCATTACTTGATTTTTTTAAATGATGGCAAATTAAAACTCTGTAAGATAATTTACAAATTAGGTGTGAGAATATGGTCAAAACACCTACCTTATCTGCTTATAATACGTAATAAATCTTTCAAATGAATACTATGCAAGCAGAGAGCAGGGTGTGCTTGTTATTCTTTTGTTGCAATATCTGCCTTTCTCATTGTGGCAGCATGTAAATGGTGAGCGTTGGGCCTAACCTAGAGTAGTCAATAACTTTTTTATACATCTAATGCCACCACATCATAGTAGGAATTCCATTCTTCTTCTTCTTCTTTTTCCTTAGAAGGCCATTTGCTCTTTATAAAATAACTTTTTTCTGAAGTCCAGACTGTGGAGAAGTTAATAAAGACATAGATATAATGGGAGAAAGTAAGCAGATAAGACAGAGGATTCCCTCGATCTTGAATTTATCTGCTTGTTGCCAAGTTGATTGTCAATTGTTGCACAAGGGAAGGTGACTGGAAGGCCAAACGTGCATCATCTATCAGTACCGAGCAGGTTTTCTGCTCTTCTGACATAACCACCACAACAGCAAAATCCTCATGTGAACAAACATGAGGTGAATCTGAAACATATCAGTATAGTGCTTATATTTAAATTAATGGAAGGGATACTATTTTCAAAAGTATCATTCCAGAAATTTTTAAACAGTTGTAATTGGTGTTTTTTACGTGTTCCATGTGAAGTGTCTCCTTTTCTCTTGGTCGTTGACAAATTTAGCTCATTACCCTGCATTCGTTGGGTCTTCCTCTTTGATATCACAAGTTGTTTCCCCAATCAATGAGATGCAGTATTGCTTCAACTTGGTTTTACATACTTTTATATAGAATTTTCATTTACATTACTTTTGTAAGCAAGCATGTGCATATATGTTAGTTACTTTCTCCCTAAATGAGGAACCAGAGCTATTAAAGACAGTAGAGTTTATTGTAGATTCTAGACTTTGAAGACCAGCATTTGGTTACGTTGGGCTGGTGCATTGCGTTGAAGAGCATGTAGCAGCCTCCACCAACTAACGCACTAGATAGTGATTTCCAGCCAACTGAGCGTGGCCCTTGTAATCATGTTCTCATTTCAAAGCAGAAATGTAATTAGGCCCTGAAATGTTACGACCTCTTATGACACAAGACCTACTGCTAAATACTTGATAAGACTGACGGTAACAGTTGGGTTCCATCATTAATATTTTCTGAAAGAGTTTTTAAAGGACGTGATGTATTGGAAATCCAGCAGAAAGTTGGATTGACCAAAGGAGAATTAATAGAGGTGTTTTTTTAACACTTTAACATTTTGTTCTATAAAAGGCAAGGAATTTTTGGAGTTTCTTGACCAGATGAATGATTATCATCATCTCAAGAAGGATTCTTTCTATATGGATTTACTTAAAGCATTTAAATGTTTTTGGCGTTCAGTAGATATTGTCAGTTAATTTCAATTCAGAAATCTTATCTGGCTGTTAAATCCAAATAAATGTTATTTTTCAAACATTGTACTTTTGATATGTTCTATAAGTGCCCTTCATTCAGAAAATTAACATGTTGCAAGTAATGTAACCAGCTCTGTGCCAGGGTACCCTTCATTCAGAAAATTAACATGTCGCAAGTAATGTAACCAGCTCTGTGCCAGCCCAGGAAGCCATGTGCATGAAGATTTGTATTCTGTTTTCTGTATAATGTATTGTTCTCAGACATCACCAGAGCTGCTTAGTTGTGATATAGACATACTTCTCCCTTCCCAAGTCAGTAGTTAACCCTACAAACTTACTTCCTTTTCAGGTTTTGATTCCAACAGTTCTTTATTATTTGCACATAGAATATGGTGATGGGCATTGTGTCCAGCCTGCTACTGGCCATGCCTTTCTTTCTAATTTTTGTTTCCCATACTACAGGACTCACCCTGTGTGGAAATACATGTGTATCACTTAGATAGCAAAGTTGTTTTGCGTTTAGAATAGTTAAGCCTTCCCTGCTGTTGTCTACAGCTAATAGCGCTACAACACCAGTTTCACAATCCTGCCAGCCACGGCTGTAGCAGTGAGGTTTGCTCACCGCAATATCGCTGCTTTATGTGAACAAAAGATCTGGTTTCTGAGTTTCCATATTTGAGCTGCTGTCAGGATACAAGTCATCAAAATAGATTTCTTATATATATGAATGTTCTTCCATTTATATTGTTTCCTTTCCATATTCTGTACTACTGTAATAAAACTTGGTATCTATTTTATACAAGTGAAAAGATATTATAGTGAATACATAGAAACATTTTATTTTGTAAATAAACCGAAGGGTGTGTTCTGACCAGCAATGCTTTTGAGTGACATGGATGGTGAAAGTTAAGTCTCTCTCACCACGACAGGAATTACAACTCATGAGCACCTGCTCATTCCGCTTAGTATGTGATTCATAATCATTGCTGTTGTCACAGTAAAGGTTGAAAATATGAAATTAGAAACTATATTTTTCACACTAATGTTGTTAAAATTATGTAATCTCAAAACCCAGATCTCTTACCATTTCATAAGATATTTTAAGATTACGCTTTGTAATAAAATGGCTGATGACCTCAATAAATGATTCTCGTTAGTGTTAGCACTAATTTAGTATGTTTTATTATTTTAAGCAGTTATTTCAAGAGTAGAAATATTTAATTTACATACAAATTTCAGGCCTCTCTCCGTTTTCTTTATTCTCCTTACCATTTTAGATATAAATATACTAATACTCTTAATGTGTTGGGTTGTAAATTGCAGGATAGGTTTTATATTTCCAATTAGATTTTAGTGGAGCTGATTGGAGTTTGTTTATTATGATAATATAGGCGACATTGCGATGACACTTCCTGCCCGGCCAAGGCACTCATGGTGCATTGCGTAGAGCACTTGCAAGTATTTTGTATAACATATGACTGAAGAGGGACGTTGTATATTGTTTTGCTGGTAGAGCTGTTCCGATGCCATTGTGATGTAGCAGCCATCATATAGTAGATCAGCAGCACCTGTTGTCTGCATTGGAGTTGTTTAATGCTTCAGTTGCAGAGCATGCAGAATGGTAATAAACTGGGCATTTTTTTTAAAGTTCCAGTAATCAAGCACTGTTTGCCCTTCTTTTAATGTAATTGTTTTGTTTTGAAGTGTATCAGCTGTGCGATCACACTCATGTTGGTACTTGGATTGTCCGCACCAATATTAAATTTGGAATGTCACCATTTTCAAATTTTTGTGCTGCAGCTCATACAAGATCTGTCATGCTGTTTCATAAATATACAACATAAGCATAATTGAACATGTATTTTATACATGGTTTGTTTACATGTTTGAATTACATGTAATAGAAAACCACTTTATATTGAATCATGTGGCCCTAGGAAGCCTGCCTCAAGGGTTATATATATAAAGGTTAAAATATTCTGTTACACACATCGCTGCTTCTTTTATTAACATTATTATAGAGCAGCATCTTTTGGTCCAGCTGGAACATTATCAGGCTCCACAGGTACTGTGTGAAAAAAATTAATACAGAAAATACTTTATCGTTAATGCAGGTTTGGATACATAAAATACATCGTGTTTAGATGAATATATTAATATGTTTGGTGTTCCAAGATTGTGTTAATAATGTGTTTTGTATATTAATTTTGCATCAGACACTACCTGCAGAGTCTGAAGATGGTCGAGCAGGACCAAAATGTGCTATTCTAGAATAATGTTCATAAATGAAAAAAAGTTTTATTTCAGTGTTTCATTACTGATTCTGTCATTACTTTTGTGTTAACATAGTTGTAAGTAGTGCTCAAATCTAAAGAGGTTTTTAATCTCTTCTTTCACCATCTATTACACACCAAAGATTATAATATAAGTATGGTTTTATATTGGTAGAATGGTATGTGACTGCTAGAGAGTATGACTTGAAAATGGATATCAGTTTAGTAGATCTCATGATGGGCAGCATTAGACACATTCTGGCCTGATTTGGCTACCAAAATTATAGCTGAATTTATTCAGTGTTTTTCAATCTGTGCAGTACGACAAAAACGAAAAACGAGCAAAGTATGCACGTCAGTTTTCATTTTTGTATATTGGTATGTACCGACTCTTAAATTCTAGAATAGAAATATATTTGTACAAACCCAATAATTTGTCATAATTGGCATTGAGGAAACTGAAAATTGGTATTATAAGAGTGCTTGCCTTTGTACAAAATAAATAATCCAGCATGATTCAGGCATGTTTTTATGCATATATTCATAAACTCCCATTTCAGTATTTGATTAATTTGAAAGTATGCTTTACAGGTATACCTCAATATTCATGGGGGGGGGGGTTTCTTTCCATGAAGGTCACATATTATTTCCTTTTAATGGATTAATATTTTCTATCTTAATGGCTTTCGTACTTCCACTTACATTACTAATGTCATTTGCCTTTCTTTATGAGATGTTGCTGTTGCACTAGTGAGGCATGGACTGAACTCGGACATACCGCGTTATAGTTAATATGTGCAGGTTAGATGCTGAGAAGGTGCACAAAGCTTGTGGAGCTGCAGCTTGGGAAACTTTTCAAACAAAATTTATGGTATTGTATTGTTGGGAGCTTGACTGAATTTGCAGATACGTACACATTGACATAGTCATCATCTTAATGGCTACAATTTTTATCAAAGGCACTTTTTGACTGAGTCAGTACTTATTAAATAGTGTTTGAAGTATGAGTTGTATCATTAAATTTCAACAAAATCTCTCGTGTTCTTTCCCATTGATTGGCTGACGGTCAAAGTTTATAGGTGCTTAGATGTTATTCTGAAGTATTTGTTAGGGGGCTTATGGTAATAGGATTAAGGTACTTTCCATCCATGAGCAGAAGTTCTGTTTTCAAGACCATGTGGATCAAGTGTGAAGTTTCCCCCTCGTCTCTGACAAAGTCAAAACTGTATGTGAGGTATACCAGTCTCCATGGGTCATATCATCTAGATTCTTTGAGATTTTGGTGACATTTCATTTATTCAGGTAGTTCTGTTTAATGAGTATCACCACCTATAAATTTCATTCATTTTAAGTGTCGAGGTATATATATTTCTTTATGTCGCAAAACATTTTCTGGTTCCTGAACTGTATACATACAGAATTTATATGTACCAGTTGGCTTTAATTTCAAAGGTCAAGCATCCATCATGGATTTCTCATTCTTATAATATTAGCAGTGCTTATATGGAATTTATTAAGTATGTGTTGGAGAGTGTGAACTCGCCCCCAGGGTAATGTGCGCATCGAGTTGTTAGGGTTGACTTCTTCTGCATGCTGCTGTAATGGTTGTGTTGTAACATTTCCATACACATAGTCATAGTTACTGTAGAATTGCTGTTAATTACAAAAGAAACAAATAAGAAAACTACTTAGATTTTAAGTGATAAAGCCACACAAAGTCAATTAAAACATCTTTGAATGTGAATAAGATTGTCGTGTTTTTCTATGCTGCCATAAATTGTACTCCATCATCTCATGTGTGTCTATGTTGGCAACACAGTAATAATAAATATGATTACAGTGGTCTTGTAAGCTTTATTCACTCCCTTTCAAGGTTACCTGTCGAACAGTGTCTTTCGTCATTCTATAAAGTTATCCATCTGAATTGATTTTTCCATTATTGTGGTTTAATACCTTGAAACCATTCCTAATTTAAATTTTGATGTAGCCTGACAATTTTAAACATCTCGCTTTCTGCAGTGAATGTAATAGTGGATTGTGTCTTTTTCTTTACATGGTATGATAAGTTTATCAGTTTTCAAATGCTCTGTGGTTAATTTGATTCTGCAAATCTGTAACTTAGAAGACTGAATGTCTGCCTGATTGTGAAATGTATTGTAGGATCAGAATAAAGTGATCATGTTCAGTCAGTTTCCATAGAATGTTGTGTATATTTTACTGTACTTGGTTATCCCAGCGTCTGAGCATGGCTAGACTTAATTACAAATAAAAAGAAAAAAAATGTCTCAACTGTTATACTTTTGGAAGCAGAGGAACTTTGTTGGTGTGAATTAAATTAGGACTCAGGAGTGAGTACTCAAATTATGAGTGTGATATTTATGCAGTGTTATAAGAAGGGTTGTGGTTTTAAACAAATATGGTTAAGAACTTTTCTCATTTGCATGATCCGTTTTGTGTGCGTATGGTTGTTGTCCAACCGTTTTTATTTCTACTCTGTCGACAAATTTCCCTCATGTGGTGGTTACAAGTGAAGATGCAGAAGACTAGTGTGGTGTAATTAATCACTGATGCAAACGAAGTTTGGGAAAATGAAATTTTGAAGAAGTTACAGACTGAGACAGCTGCAATTACCGTTATTGTATATATAACTACCTGACGTTAGGACAATTTGTACCGCATTGTACGAATTATATTTTTACGGCGTTGCATCTCTGTATGAATCCGTTGGTATCAATCACGGATTATCCGCGTTGTCTGGCTGCCGCTCGTAGGAGAGTGGAGTCGTAGAAAAGATATAACGTAGTGGTTTAGTCTTTTTAATTATGCTAATTTTCCATTATTCGTAGTTGATTACTGTTTTACTTCCGTTAGTATATTTAAGTGTGTTCCAAATTCTGTATTCCTTTATGTGTATGAACAGAGGAAATCATTGAGTTTGACGTGTGAGTACGAGGCATTTATAACAGTGTTTTACCTTAGGTTGAATCAGATTGTGTTGACAGTTTATACCAATGAATAATATAATAGAAGTTTATATTTTCATTACGTTCTTCCTCTTGTGGTATTAGGTTATAACTGACCGCATAGCAATTTCGGATTGCATCAGTCATTTATTTCAAGATCGTGTGACATGTGTAGTTCAAACAGTGAGCAGCATTTACAGGTGTTTGCTATGTTTATCAACACAGAGGAATCAACCCGAAGTTAGAAGACAGCCATCTTTCTTAAATCTAGATGAATTGAATGTTATTCTTATTTTACTTGCAGCAGTTTGGAAATATGGACTTTGTAGCTTTTAATAAAACAAATTCTGCTGCTTGTGTATAGTACGTATAAGCAAATTTGTGTAATATCTGAATTTGTCGTACTTTGCCTCGGGAGTTGCCCATATAAGCATGTAAACCACAGAAGAACAGAAATATTGGAGGTTGAGATTGTTTTTGTCATATAAATGGTTAGTGCAGTTAGAGTCAGTGCGAGTGTGTAACGGGCACTATGAAATATGGTTTGTTGTTAGCGCAAGAGAACGGCGTACGTGCGTGCCAGGCCATGTGCTGCATCTTTCAGCGCAGATCGTGCGACCATCTATCGGTTATTCTATGAACTACATGCGTTGCGCCCCCAAATTTAATACGCAACTGATTGGATTTTCACGAAAATTGGCATGGAGAATGTGTCATTAGAGGCAAGTGAAGACTCGTGCTTCAAAACCCAAAGTCGTGATAAAGGACGATGATAGCGCTTGATAGTCACGTATGCTGAAATTTGTGAGGTGGAACTATGATGACATTGGAACTCATGATCTTTTGCGCATGCGCGATGACACATTGTTGCCGCAGTGACTTTGATACCACTGTTACGTGTTTTGTTGTTCATTGTGTGATGTGATGACGTTATCACCATTCCCATCCGCCTACAATAAGTGGAGAATGACTGGACTGATTTTCATGAAATGTCTGAAAAGAAAATGCCGGAGATTTTAAATGAGCAACTTCGCGTTCGGATGACAGATCATAAAAAAATTCGTAGGAGTGATATCTCGCGATTCAAATCTTTGTTCGTGCGGCTTACTCATCGCCCTGATGATGGAGTCAGCAAGGACCTCTGAAACGTCGGTAAACTTCCACCAGACTACACGGCGCAACAACCCAGAAGACAGCCATCGCCAACCTCCAAGGTGTAATAAGAAAAGGTAAGCTCAGTAGTCACTGTTTTTTCGTAGTGTACATTCCTTTCCTTTCATGTTCCTTAATTATGTTGTCATCAGTTTTACAACCCCCTTCTTCCCCCACAAAGGGCTATGCCTTTCACAGGGTTCTTATTTCTTTCTTTTCTGAATGTCTTAATTCGGATGAGGCACTTGCCCTCTATTTCAGTCATAAATGCTGTACATCATTTCCATGTCATAATCAAAGCCGAGTTATGTATGATCTAAGCTTTCATGCTATAATGAATTCTTCTCGGGCTGCCAGCCGTATCAGGCGGTCGAATGGAGGAAACACCAACATTTTGAGAGCCATCTTCGTCCTCAGGGTATTGAAGTTCCATATGTACCTTGTACCCTGAGGATGAGAGTGAAGATGGTTCTCGAAATGTTGGTGTTTTCTCCACTCAACCACCAGACACAGCTAGAAGAATTCATTATACAAAGTCGAATTCTTTGACAAAGTGAAGTGTGAAAGTTCTGAGTTATTATTTGCTACTGTGATGTGTTATTAAATGTTATGTAAGGACTTGGCTCTTCTAAAACTACTTCAAGTGTTAGAGGTTTTCTAATACAATTTATTAATATCTGATATGTCATCTTTAGATAATTGATTTACTTAGTTTTACAAAGAGATAAATACAAATAATTATAAAATATTTTCCAAAAATTTTTATTGTGCGTGTGCAGTTGCATGTATATATATGTATGCATATAAGAACAAGTACAAAAATAAGGATGAGTGAGTTGATCCACCATCTTCTAGGCTTGATGACCTCGTTCAACATCATGATTCTGAGTGATCGGTGCGGCAAGACGGTCCTCTGGGGGGTTTGCAGCTTCTGATACCTTCAACTTCCTGTATTTTCCTATAATCAATCAGTTTTATTGGCATTACTCATTATTATTAATACAGATGGCTCTTGTTATATATTCCTGTGAATTGCATAGAATTAAATATGGCAATTGTCAATGTTAGATGATTCAGGTGACGATGGTAAGAGTTATAAAACTGTATAGGGTTTTTTGTGGGTTATGTTAATCAAAAGAAAATTCATTATGACTAAGTTTTCTTTCTACACAATTTTGAAAATTGTAGAGTAAAGAATATTTACATGTAGAAAATAGGTTTTGAAAGAAGTGACATTACTGTGTTTTTCATGACCTCTCCACTTATGCAAGTCATTTAAAAGGACACTTGAAATAAAAATGTTATGGCCTCTCGAGATCTCTGCATGATGTACCAAATTTAGGGTATTTAATTTTATTATATAACAAAATGTATGCATATAGATAATAGGAAATGGAGTGAAAGGACTTTCATTTATGCTCAAGTTAATGAGGATCACCTGGAATTAACCCTTTCAGTGCCAATCAGTAAAAAACAATATAATATGCCAACAAGACAAAATATTTGTATTTAAATTGTAAATATTAAGAGAAAACAGTTTGCGTGACTGTTATATAATCTTCGTGAATGGCTAATTTATGTTTTCTATCACTTCGGTCATTGGGGGTGTACTCACGTGCAATTCTGAGCATTATGATGCCCCACCAAATGCTCCATCCCCAGCCAACAAGACAGAAGATTACTGTGAATAACTGTGCAGCCCCCACTGTCATATTGACCACAAAGGAACCCATGCGACCCTGAAGATCATCGTGAGGACCGAAGCGTGGCTTTCCAAAGCACATGCACAAGAACCCACTCGACAGAGTTCCTGAAACAGTAACACACAACCATTACATTTTTAACAATCCAGTAATATTCTACGAATGTCTCATGCATGTGATGGTCGTTCACATGAAACATTTGCAGTACTGATGGCAGATGTGGACAGTCGTGGGCTATCACATGGCTGCGTACGTGACACACAAACGGTTGACCGTTGCATGATAGTGATCATCCTCGTGTGCCCAACATTGCGGATTCTGCTCACTCAACGACGTGCTAAAGGGTCGTAAGAGTCTTTTGAATGAGGTGGCCATGTCTTGGGGGCAGCACAGTCTCGACTGAGCAGTCTCGTAAGGTGTTCTTTCACAGAGTGTAAAAAGAACATTTAAATTACTTACTTTTCAAATACCAAACATGATACAAGACTGCATTGTACATATTTTTACAAAT